GCTCCAGCGCTGCGCAGAGCGAAGCCGCCGCCTGCGCCGGGGCTGCCGGGTCCTTCTTCCCGCTGATTCAGCACGGCCTACCAAATCCTGTAGGATACAGACACCCCTCCAGCACGCGCAGCCGATGCAGCTGCTGAGGTCATCTACCATTAAAACCGGTTTCAGAGCGACTAACGCGGCATTTGGCCTCGCAAGAGGCCGTCAGAAGCTCCCAGCACGGCACCTAATTCCATGTTTAATGACAGGAGTAGGGTTTAGTTGGGATATTGCAACCACTGAGTGCCGACCTGGGAATGCTTTCTTGAGTAAGTTACCCCTTACCTCTAACAGAGGAGCCTTCGCTGAAATTGCTTCTTCTCAGCCCTCAAGTTACTGAAGACGTGTATGGTCACTGAAGTAATAAAGCCCAAGTTTTTCCTATGTTATCTGTTAAATCTGAAATTCCCAAAAGGAAAAATAAAGCTGGAGCTGACGCGGCAGCACGCACGGTATCACCGCTCCCTGCTTGTCTGTACGTGATGCCCCAGCAAATACTGCTCTCCCACCCTTCCCAAAGCTTTCGGTACCCTTGGGCAGAGCAAAGCAAACATCCGTTTGCCCTGCACCCTGCAGGTGTCGCAGCACGACAGCACCCCTGATCCTAAGCCAAGGGTTGGGTACAGAATGCAAACCCATGGATTTGGCGGTAAATGCCATTCCCAGTGCCACCTGGAGCACGGCAGGAACCGGGGGAAGGTGCTGGGGCGGCCCAGGGAGCAGCCACCAGCCCTCACCCGTCCAATGACAGTCGCTGCCGACAAGGGAACTGGGAGGCCTTTTTCAGGAAGGCTCGGGACAACCTGCTACTCTCCAGCTCGTCTCCCGCCTTTGGAAAACATACAAGCTGGGAAAACAGGGAAACAACCAAAATACCAGCATCCAGATCCTCCTCCCCGGCACTCTGTTACCATGGGGTTCACCCTGTCCAAAGGTGCCCCTGAAAAGATCTCCCCAGTTTCCAGCGCTGCTCCGTCAAGTCATCCAGGGCCAGTTCCACCTCTGCCATTGGTCAGGGACGGCAAAATCCCTGTGCCCCCGAGGAGGTCGGGAATTCTGGGAAGCCGCTTCACCGCCTGAAACACGTCTTGGTAACTGCACGCCCAGCGCGGCACTGGGCAAGCGGAGGGAAAACTGCTTCCACCCACATGCAGCCCACAGAGTTATCACGCGCTCCGCAGCATCAGGAAAAACCCTGTAGTTTATTTGCTGTTTAACCTTAAAAAACCGCGCTCCTAACGACGCCTTACCCGCCCGCTGCCTGCCAACACGGCCACAAACCGACAGAATTCCCACCAGTCAGCCCAGTTCGAAACCCGCACCTCCAACGTACCGAAAGCCGTTGCGATGCGACGGCGTCTCCGGAGGCACCCTCGAGCCCGGCCGGACCTGGAGCCAACGCTTCCACCCTGGTATCCACGCCGGAGACCCCTGTGCCACACGGGCCAAGCTACCAACGTTAACTTGAATCCACGCCCACCCCCCACCCGAAAAAAACATTTAAGAAGGAAAAAGAAGAGAGGGGGAGCTGCTTGCAGGACTGAGGTGGCCGATGGCACGTTTATTGGCAGTTTTGCAGTCCCGACTGCAGATGGAAGAGCCGGAATTAGCTCTCCCCTTCCACACCTGAGGCACACGGGGAAGGAGAAGGTTCATCATCGTGGTGCCCGCTGCGCCACGAGAAGCCAGGAACGTTGAAGGCTCCCTCTTTTGGGAGCAGGAACTAATTTTTAATAGGCAGAAAACCCAAGTTGCCTGGTTTCTTTTCCTCAAGAGGCTACTTAGGTCTCCCCTGCTTCCTCATCTTCCAGAGCATCTACGTGTTTGTACTGTTTCCAGGCCTTTAAATTACATTTTTTGAGAATGGCTCCTAGGTGCTTCCCGGGTCCCACCTCGTACGTGTAAGGGAATTCCGTTCCTTGCTTCCTCTCGTACACAGAGTGCATGGTCTGTTCCCACAGGACGGGGGAAACCACCTGCTTCACCAGCAGCTTCCGGATGTGCTTGGCGTGCATGTACTTCTTGCCATCGACGTTGGAATGGACGCAGACCAGCGGCTTCTGAATCTCAATCGACTGCAGGACCTCAGCCAACGGCTCTACCGCCGGTTCCATAAGCCTGGTGTGAAAAGCCCCGCTGACCGGAAGCATCTTGGTGCGCGTAAAGTAGTATTTTCGGGCGTTCTCCTGCAAAAACTCCAAAGCCTGTACGGGAAAGAGAGGAGTGAGAGTCTTGCACGGTGACCGTCGGCGCGGCTGCCCCATCAGCCTCCTCCTCGCAAAGGGAATCCTCTCCCGAGCCGCCGGCGGAGCACGGGCTGGAAAAGGAACACCCCACGGACCGACCATGGGCAAACCGCGGCGCGTGCGCACCCCCCACGCCGCAGCGCGGGTGCCGGTCACCGGAGAAGGCAAGGCGGCCGTCGGTAAGGGGGGGGGTGACCCTGAAGGAATACCTGCGCGTGTCCCGCGATGACTCTGCTGTCGGGGAACAAATAGTTGGAGATTTCGCAGACGGGGTTTTCGATACCCAGCGACTCGCAGTGCTTCCGGGCTTCCAGGCAGGCAAATTTGTAGTTGGCCTCTCGCCGACCGACGACGGAGAGCATCCCGCCGGGGACCGCTTCCGCCGCCTTCTCCATGGCCTCGGCGCGCGCCTTCACCGCGTG